AAAAAAACCCTCATTTTACAATAAAATGATTTTTTAAAATAGTCTTTGAAATGTAAAAGACTTACTAACCAAAAGAAACTGTAGTCAGATTGACTAGCTTCAAACTATTCAAACTGCAGACTGAACCACAGCCAGGAGTTATTTAATCTCTCTCTCTCTCTCTTTTTTTTTCTACCCATTACCATTGAGTCAATTCTGATGCATGGCAACCCCGTGTGTGACAGAATAGAACTGTGCACCATTGTTTTTTTGTTTCTTTGTTTTTGTTTTTTACTTTTTTGTGATCTGAATACTTATTATCTCTTTTTCTCAATTTCCTCATTGTAATATAAGGATGATAAAAGTACCTGGCTTCTAGGGTTATTGTAAAGTTTAGGAAAGAACACAGAGTAGTGCCTGGCTCACAGCAGGACAGGTGGTGATGAGAGTTGGTAGCCAGCTATCCGAGTTATCTTAAGTAGTCATTTAACCTCTCTGAGTTTCAGTTTCCTTAACTTAGTTTAAAATATCACCTATGTGATGGATTATCATGATGTCAAAAGGAAATAAATGTAACATACCTTGTTGTTGTTGTTATGTGCCCTCGAGTCGGCCCCGACTCATAGCGACCCCTCCTTGGGTTTCCGAGGCAGTATCACTACAGAAGTAGGATTGCCCAACCTTCCTTCCGAGGAGTGGCTGGTGGGTTTGAACCGCCAGCCTTCTGGTTAGCAGTCAAGTGCTTTTAGCCACTATGCTACCACAGCTCCCGTAACATACCTAGCATTCAATAAATATTAGACCTTTTCTATAATAACAGCCCTCCTAACACCTACAGAGAGCTATCTGTCATATTAGATATACCTCAGTTGTAGTAGATGCCTTTTGAACTTTTCACCAGCTCATTCAAGTTGGTCTGGATGAAATGATCACCCAATGAGTCTAGGTCCAAAACTTGATCTTCACCTAGGTTCCAAAAAGATAAACAGATCAAAGTCTTGAAATGTTCAACCCCCTAGTAGGAAAGCTCTTGTGCTATTCCAAGAGCAGACATCTGTGGTACTGGTAACCACTGACCTGAAGCTGGTATAACTGAAGTAATTACTAATGGCCTCCATGATGCGCTACCATGTACACTTCTTTTCATTCTTTGCTTTCTCAATTTGTTGGAAACATTTAGCTAGAGATCAAAAGTATCATCATTGGTTAAAGCATCAGCTTTCTGACCTTTGGATTCAAAATTAGGATATTCTCCATTACAAGTGTCCTAAAATGAAGTGCTCTCAGATAGGCAAACTAGCACTGAACACAAAAGGCAAAGGCAGTAAGATGATCTCTTCATTTCCACCTGTGACCAAACCCTCCAATGAATGTGTTCAGCCAAGAGTTTGTTCAGCCACGCCTTTCTCTCACTCTAGACTCTAACAAGACACATATGGAGCTTTGAAAAGTAACAGGAAGGAAGAAACCAAATGCTTCCTAGTGCCAAGATTTGGCTTCCCATAAGCCATAGCTTTAGTGTCATAACAAAGTTATGACTGTGGGAGCAGAGGAAGGGGATACTGGGAGGTTTAGGGGTAGTGGTGGTGGTTGTTTGTGTATGTGTGTGTGCAGGATATGAGTTGGTTTGTATATAACAGAAAGTCATGCTTAGAGAAGAACACAGCTTTATCTTATGGCACTGTCCAGGTCAAATTGCCTTTTTAAGTTTGAAGCCTCTGTAACATTCAGCATATTTTAAAAAAACCCACCATTGAGTGGATTCTGACTCACAGTAACTCCCATTGGGTTTCAGAGGTGGTATATATTTATGGAAGTAGATTGTCCTGTTTTCCTTCCACAGAGTGGCTAGTGGGTTTGAACCGTCAACCTTCTGGTTAGCAGTCAAATGCCTTAGGCACTATGCCACCAGAGCTCCTTACATACACATTCACCATATATTAAAATTTATTTTCCCATAATATGTGTGTGTGTGTGTGTCTGTATGTGTGTAAACACTGGAAATAAGATACCAGGATCATTTACTGTACCGGAAATAACAAACTATTGCCATTAATTGTTCTTTCTCAAGTAAGTAACCCAAAGTCCATGAGTAGCCTTCTCAAAAGTATGTATTTCATGTTGCTGCAATAAATGGAATATGTAATGTTTCTAAATTCTCTGTTGATGCAAAATGTCTTCCATAAATATACCAACTTGCCGTCTAATGCCAAGAAATAACTGACTCTACCACAGATTTAAAAAAAAATGGAGTCAGGATTGGACAGCATCTCAGCGAAATCATTCTGGTCCAGAAGAGGTTACATAAAGGGTCAGAACAGCTTTCCTCCTTTTGAAATAAAAGCTGCAGCCAAACCCTATGTCAGCCACCTCCTCCCCAAAAGGTGGGGTGAGGTAGGCCTCGGTCTAACTCAAAAAAACCTCACTGCTGTCGAGTAGGATACGACTCATAGCGACCCCTCCTTGGGTTTCCGAGGCAGTATCACTACGGAGGTAGATTGCCCAACCTTCCTTCTGAGGAGTGGCTGGTGGGTTTGAACTGCCAGCCTTCTGATTAGCAGTCAAGTGCCTTAGGCACCACGCCACCAGAGCTCCCACGGTCTAACTAGCAATATCGAAAGAAAGAAACAAAAACTTTATATAGAGGATTGACTCCAGTATGGGTTGTGCCTGCACTGTGTTCAATATTATTATGGTAGAAAACAAAACGGCAGTAAAAAGCCTTTCTGATTGGTTTCTACATTCCAGGTCTTTCAGTTCTCTAACATTTCCACTTCATTGATTTTCTTAAATGAATAAATTTAGGTGTCGCACAAAGTCAGAGCCCTTTTGAAAATGGAATCAGCCTAATAAACCCGAGAAAGGGATACTCACCTTCCCTCTTCATGCACTCCTCCCCCTCCCCCGCCCCTTTTGCTCGGAGTCTTCACTAGCCAAGCAGCAATCTTCTGTCATCTCAGGCACTTAAAACTGGAGCCAGTCAGCCCCGGTTGATTCTTGTGGATGGAGCAGTTAACTACAACTTATCAATTATCTAGATGGTGAGATATCTTTCTAACTTTTACACTTACTGCCTCCTTTAACTCCCACAACCACCACGTAAGACAATAATTGCAAGCTCCATTATAGAAATGAAGAAACTGTTGTGAGAAACCAAACATCACAAAGGGCGGCGTAGCAGGGACTTGAACCAGCTTTGTATGATCCTTGTACCAGAATTAATTAGTGAGAACTTGTCCCAGACGGCTCCTCAGAGGGAGCCCGGATAAGAGCCACTCCTACTACTCGCGGGGTTCAAGTGAGACCAATTCCGAAGGTGTTTCATCGAGTGACCCTCTCCCGGTGCCTCTGCGAACACCGAATGCCACTCACCTACCTTAGCCCACCACCTCCCATCAGCAGCCCGCCAGCCCCAGCCGGCTTGGTGGTCTCCGGCCCCGCCTCCGCGACCGTTACTGTCGCCCGGATAGGCTGGCCAATCGAGCCCGAGCGCGAGAAAGCGCCGAACCAGGCTGGTCTTTGAGCGCTGCGAGCGATTCTCTCGGGCTTCACAAGAGGGCTGGGCCGCCCCGCGCCCCCTGGTTGGCTCCGCTGCTGGGGGCGGGGCTTACCTCAACCTTAGCAGTGAGTGGGCAGTGCTTGTCAAATGCACGCGCGAACTCCTTGCACACTCTAGATTAGCGGGCACCCTGCCACGTACGTGGCGCCTTATTTACCATGATGACATCAAAAATACACATTTGAGGGCGTCGGTGAAGTGAAGCTCTTGCTGGGAGGACCAGTCAAGCTGCTCCCTATGTTCCAGACCTGCCTAAAATCTGCTGTGCTTTGAATTTGGAGGCCCAAACTAAATATTTGTTGACATTTCACCATTCCATTCAACGTTTTCCAAATTCTCACGAGGTGTCAGGGCCTACATGAGAATCCCAGAAACGCAGGGAGGGATGACTGGGGGTACTCAAAGTCTAGTTAAAGCGGTAGGCATACACTAGGAAATTAAGGTACTATTTGATAGGTGTGATCAGAGAAAAGTGCGCTAAGCGCAGAAAGGAAAAAGGAAACGGATTACCTAAAATGGTCACAAAAGTCTTCCTAGACCAGTGAGCCTCAATGCGGACTGCATTTTAGAATCACCTGGGGAGCTTTGAACTATCTTGATGCCCAGGACCCTAGACCAATTAAATCAAAATCGCCAAGGGTGGGACCCAGGTGTCAATAGTTTATAAATCTCCCCGGTGATTCCAGTGTGCCCCATGATGGAGAACGGAAAACTTAAAGGGAGGTTTAAGAAGAATAATTCTGAATGGTGAATAAGAGGTCTCTGGCAAAATAAGTAGAAAAGGTATTCAGACAAAACTCCTTATGTAAATTAAATAATAACTCTTGTTGTTGTTGTTGTTGTTAAGTGCCATCGAGTCGTTTCCGACTCATAGCGACCCCATGTACAACAGAACGAAACACTGCCCGATCCCACGCCAGCCCCACAATCCCTGCTATACTTGAGCCCATCATTGCAGCCACCGTGTCAATCCATCTCGTTGAAGGCCTCCCCCTCTTTCATTGACCCTCCACCCTACCAAGCATGACATCGTTCTCCAGGGAATGGTCCCTTCTGACAACATGACCAAAATAGGTGAGACGACGTCTGGCCATTCTTGCTTCCAAGGAGCATTCTGGCTGCACTTCCTCCAGGACAGATCTATTAGTTCTTTTAGCAGTCCATGGTACTTTCAGCATTCTTCGCCAGCACCACAACTCAAAAGCATCAACTCTTCTTCGGTCTTCCTTACTCATTGTCCAGCTCTCACATGCATACGAGGTGATTGGAAATATCATGGCTTGTGTCAGGCACACCTTAGTCCTCAAGGAGATATCCTTGCTCCTCAGCACTTGATACAGTTCCTTCGCAGTTGACTTTCCCAATGCTACACATCGTCTAATGTCCTGACTGCTGCTTCCATTGGCATCAATTGTAGAACCAAGCATTGTGAATTCTTTGACAACCTCTATCTTCTCTCCATTTATTGTGATGCTGCTCATTGGTCCAGTTGTGAGGATTTTTGTTTTCTTTATGTTGAGATGTAATCCATACTGCAGACTGTATTATTCAACCTTCATCAGTAGGTGCCTTAAGTCATCCTCACTTTCAGCAAGCAAAGTTGTATCATCTGCATATCTCAGGTTGTTAATGATTCTTCCCCAGGGTTACAGGTTAGGAGAGACAACTCAGGGACGCCCGAAGTAGCAAGCGGGAAGAGCAGGAGAAAGGGGATTAAAAGCCAGGAAGCCAGAGAGAAGAGCAGTGAGCCAAAGGGATTAGGTGAGGAGAGGCAACTTAGGCCAGCCCAGAGTAGCAGGCCGGAAGAGCAGGAGAAAGGGGATAAAAGCCAGAAACCCGGACAGGGTAGCAGTCAGCCCCAGGGACAACTCAGGGATGCACAAAACAGCAGGGCAGAAGAGCAGGAGAAAGGGGATTAAAAGCCAGGAAGCCAGACAGAGGTACAGTCAGCCACAGGGACCCAGTTGGGGGTGATACAAGAGGTCTCCAACAGCAAGACAAACTTGTCTGTCGGTTTGTCCTACTGTGGTGACATGTAGACTTGAGTTTTGAGGCTGAGCCTCTGGTGTTTAAAACCCAGCGAGATGCACCTGGTGCACAGGTAACAGCCCAGCTTGTAGACTGAGACAGACTAGGAAGAAGGAAGAGGCCATCCACTTCCCAAAGAATCGACCAGGGAAAACCTTATGAATAGCAAAGAAATAATAACTCTAATGCACTTTAATGTAATGCCTAGCTCACAAGTGCTCAGGAAGCCGCCCCCCTTTTTTTTTTTTTTAATTTAATTACAAAATTTAATAAATATTATGCAACAGTCAAGAAATTATACCACATAATGCACTGGCTAAATGTGCTGCAAAAGATCTCTTGTTGTTGTTGTTAGGTGTTGTCATGTTGGTTCCGATT